AACCCTTTTGTGGATCGGGATGTGAATTTTGGTCCTTTTGATCTGAAATGGTTAATGAAATAGTAAGGTACACTAGTCTAGTGAGAATCCCTTACTTTATTCCTTATTATGGAATTGAAGTTTAATTATAAATAATACGGTATTTTGCATAATTTAAAAAATTTTGATAATTAATTACAGGTTACTAATGGAGGTAGAACCGATTATTTATTACTGTTTGTCCTATTTTAACTGAATGATTGATTTTATCGTTTTAAATGCATAATCATACACTAGAGTTGGTAAGATGATTCAGTTGTGCTTCCTTGATGCATGTATTGCTTGTTTTGCATGATTTACAGTTAAATTGTGAAACTGAAAATTAAATATAAATGAAAAATTGCTTGATTAACTAAATAAATGAATAGTAGCCTTACTGAATATCCTGAGAGATGGTGGACATACCGAGTACATAAGGAACCCTACCGTGAACGTTGTCTCATACCGAACGGGGTATCGAGATTTGATATTTTGGCACTCATACCGGACGAGGTATGGGGATGACCCGTTTCACCATAATACCGGACATGGTATTGAGAGATGGTATTTTTGGTGGTCATATCGGATGAAGTATGGGAACGACCCATTTCACCCTTATACCGGACGAGGTATTGAAGGATGATATTTTTGGTGCTCATACCAGACGGAGTATGGGGATAACCGGTTAGTTGACAATGTTGAGTAAGGTTTCACGCGTAATGGAGACATCCCAATGGACCCCATGGATACCAGTAGGCAGATAAAAAAAAAGTTGTTGTTCTAGCTAATTAAAAATGAGATTATGATGTTATTTGTGTTATTACCTTTATAGGCCAGTTTTGAAAATCTCGCTATAGTAAGTATGTAATAAATAATTTTATTTATGATAAATGAATTTACTTAAATTAAGAGCTCAATTATTTATTTTTATAATTTTTACCTATATTCATTTATGTATCGATGAGTAGTGTGATATTTTTACTGGGTTAGTGTAGCTCACTCTTTCATTAAATATTTCAGATCAAGAGCAGTAAGATCCAGATCCAGATCCACAAAAGGGTTGCGGATAGGATGTCCAGTTGTTTACTTTCTATTTATTTATTTGATTTTTTGTTTGTTCTTTTAGAATGGTCATTCTTGTAGTCTTATTGAGTATTTTAAATTATTATCTAAGGAATGTAAACCCTAACTCTATTATTTCGCTTCCGCATTCTATTTATAATTTATTTCTATTTTAATATTCCGGGTCGTTACAGAAGAGGTGCCTCCTCACAAAGAGGTTGCAGTGACCAGGTCCGGGCAACTGTTTACCAAAAGCACAGGTCTCCGCAACGTCGTAAGACCATGTATTGGGGCTGATACCTGCCCAATGCACAATTGAATTGCACTTATGTTATCGTTAGCTAAAAATTAGTGAAGTAATGAATAAAAAATAAAAAAATATTAATTTTTTGAAATAATTATTTTTCTTGTTCGTATAATAAAAAGTGAAAATATAAAAAGAAATAAATAATTGTTGTATTAATATTATGTTCATTTAGTATTGTGAAAGAAAAAAATATTTATTAGTTAGCAAAAATAATCGAGTTAACTCTTTTTTAAGATAACAATTAATGATAGAATAAAAAATTATTGTTATTAAATTAAATATATTTCTTTTTCTTCTATTTCTGCATATTTGGATAACTAAAAAAAAAAAAATAGAGTTTTAATCGAAAGTGTCCACTTACCATCTATCTTGTCGTTCATTAATTTTTATTTGTTTCAAATAAAGAAAATGATCGTAAAGATTCAATTAACTTTTTAAAAAACGTTACAAAATTAATATACAAAATTTATATTTGTTACAATTTTCGGTTGTTCATTTGTTTGTTATAATTTATTATATGATTTTTTATTTATTTCAAACATATAATTTATACAATTTATTTTATTTTCTAATAAAAAAATATATTAATACAAAATATATCATACGTAAAAAGGTATTTAATCTCGTTTAACACTAGTGTTGTACCTAACTTGGACAAAAATCCTTGAAATACTAATGTAATTTACATAAAGCGAAAATGAATTTTATTTTTGTTAATGGCCGTGTATGAGGATAATAAACTCTATACTCGTCGCGTATCCATCTCTAGATTTGATTCATATCTAATTACTATAAATATAATTAAATTATTATATTAAAGTTTGGCAAAATATAATTAAAGTGTGTAACAGTTATGTTAGATTTTTAACATATTGTGACTATCCCGATTAAGATAATTTAATTCGTACGAAATTTTTAGTTTACCAACTAGTCCAACTTGATTATTTTGGCTATAAGAATAAACTAGTGAACTAAATTCTTAATTTTATTGAATTAAATATTATATATCAGTTAACGTTAATTCATATATATATATATATTTAAAAAATAATAAATTTTATATTTTTAATAAAATTTAAACTCTCGGATAGTAACTAAAACACTATGATAGTTGGATATAATTGAGTTTACATGAAAATGAGCTAAGATATTTTATCACATTTCACGTTCATACAAACATGGCCCAATATAAAATGATATCATGAGTCATTCCACCTCTACTACAAATCACTGAACCGGGCTAAATTGAGATCCATGTTTCCAAAAGCGAACCGGGTCCGGTTTCCATAGATACCAAAAGCCGAACATTTCAGTCATATGCGCTCTGTTTTTAGGCCAACCCCTTCCTATATTCTCTCTTTGCAGCGTTCTGTCTGTCTCTCCCGCCGTCGTTTGCGGCCACTGTCGTCAGTGGATTTCTTCCCTCTCAGTTGGTTTCTGGTCAGTGGATTTCTCATCTGAGTTTTTTCTCTTTCAACGGTAGCATTGACCTTATTGTTTCCCTAACATTTTATGCGGCAATTTTTTTTTATTGCAATTACTGTCAATTTCCTTTGTTATTTTATTTTCTTATGATGCGATTCGTAGATTTTTTCAAAACGAATTGTTAAGACCATACATCTGTGAAAAATAAGCAATATCTGATTAGATTATTCGTTCATTTGGTTTGGTAAATCCTCTTGTTTATCATGTTAATTGTTGCTTGATAAATCTTCCTCTAAAATCTCATATGCTGCTGGTTTTTAGCAGTTTTTTTTTTCTCTCTCTCTCTCTCTTGTTTCAGTGTTGCAGGTTGATCTGGGAAGATGGACCAGGTTAGTATCAGAATTATTCTTGCTTGTTTTTAGTTGTTTTTGTTGCTTATTGTTTTGTATAATATCTGACACCACTTATAATGTTGGTGAATGCTAGTATGAGAAAGTTGAGAAGATTGGTGAGGGAACCTATGGCGTTGTGTATAAGGCTAGGGACCGTGTGACTAATGAAACTATAGCTTTAAAGAAGATCCGGTTGGAACATGAGGATGAGGGTGTACCTAGCACTGCAATAAGAGAAATATCACTCTTGAAAGAAATGCAGCATGGTAACATTGTGAGGTATTAATTCCAGTCTTATGTTTAATTAATGGCGTTTCTGAACTGCTAATTTGACATACATATGATGAGGATGTCAAAAGAGAACCGAAGATAAGGGTGATTACTTACTTCTCATGTTAATTCTTGTGCATTGTTGAAATTAAAGAAAAATAGGTGAAATTACCTTTTTGTTTTGTATCTGCTTAGTTTCTAGTTTTAGCCAGTTAGCTTGTGGTGAATTTATGCTTATTCTTTGATCAGCTAGCATGCTGGAGATCAAGGATTTTCAAAAAATTAGGTAACTGAGATGTTTAAAATTATGAGATAGTTACTA